AAATATACATCAGAAGCATCATTAATATGGGGAAGATAACAGTGACCCCTCACTGTCTGTGTGACGTTTGAGGCATAGCGCAGTCAGCAGTGACCTCAGAGGCATCATTTACAAGTAGGAATCGAGGGATGTTTAACAAGATACTGGAGGAAAATGGGGTGAACAAGACCCCGTGTATGTGTGCATTAACACGAGCACAAAAGCAAAGCCCAAGGCGATTTTTTCCTCCTGCCTGTTCTGGCCTTTCTCTTGCTTGGCCCCACGGCCCGGTGGCCGACACGCAGGTACCAGCCCGCAGACTCACTGCTGCCTTGCCCTTGGCATGAGTGTTTCCTCCTGCTGCACAGCCAGAGGGTGAAAAATAACCAGGCTTTAAAGCTCATCGCCTTGGTGTCTTCCCCCTCCAGAGGATAATAAGCTGCTTTTAATATTTGACATGTTTATTAACAGATGCAGTTGTGACAGCTGATGACTTCATATGCCAGTTACCACTGAAATGTTAGTAATAACTCGGAATTAGCAGTCATAAATAAAAGTGACTACAAAGAAAACGAGATGTTGTGTCACTCTGCAGTAATTTACTGGGCCCTGTTGGCTCTGGCCAGGCTGGGGCAAGTCCGCGGCTCCACTCCGGGTTTTGCAGCAGCCGCGCAATTTGGCTGCTCGGGCTCAGGGGTGGTACCCGCGGCTGGAATTCCCTCGTGCAGGAGTCCGCTGGATGCCTTTGCGGAGCTGGATCCTACAAAGAAAACGAGATGTTGTGTCACTCTGCAGTAATTTACTGGGCCCTGTTGGCTCTGGCCAGGCTGGGGCAAGTCCGCGGCTCCACTCCGGGTTTTGCAGCAGCCGCGCAATTTGGCTGCTCGGGCTCAGGGGTGGTACCCGCGGCTGGAATTCCCTCGTGCAGGAGTCCGCTGGATGCCTTTGCGGAGCTGGATCCTCTGGTAATAATCACAAGAAGCCCCCGACTGGCCGCGCGGGGATGGAGCCCACGGCGCCGGGACCGGGGACGGCGGCGGCGCGGGCGGCGGGGCCGTGACGGCGCCGGGAGCGGGAGC